CCCTACAATTCAGGTATGTAGTATCTAGGAACTTGGGTAGTTGAGCTGTACACAAGCTTTATCAGATTCTTGGAGTACAGAAGGTGAAGGTCAGAGCTGTTTCCTCATTAGCTGTTTGTCTTAGATACTGTGCAAAGAAGATATTAGAAGCCACCTACCAGGATAATTGTTTTATATTAACTGCTCCTCTGATTCACTAACATTACTGAGGTCAGGAATGGGTAGTTGTACACAGGTGACAACAAAAGCTGTGTGGTAATGTCTCCTATTTCTATCTTGCTACACAACCTCCTCCCTTCTGGTAGGCAGCCATGCCCTGGGGCAGGATGTCTCCTCCCAACACCCCAGCTCCCCCTGGAGCCCGTGCACATTTGATCACAGCTGGTAAAATCCAGGAACATGAATAGTTCCTGAAAAGCAGGACAAGTCAGGATCATTTCTGAGCAGGACTGAAAAGGACAAGGGACTCCCTGTGTAGGGGCTGATAGGATGCAAACCCCAGGCTGCAGGCTGGCACATGGTGGCTTTTGTGGAGTTGTTGGAATCTGGTTTCTGGTGCAGCTGCAGCCTCAAGACAAACACCCAAGCACCCAGGGGCCAGCAGCACCACAGAGCTGTGTTCAGCTCTCTTCCTTAAGGCAGCTGCCACCTATTCATAAACAGCTGATAAGTTCAGTTTGGGGTTACTACCGCCTCTGAAGAAGGTCCCATAAATTTAAGCAACTAGTTAATAACTAGTGAGAGGACAGGAGGCCTGGCAGTGTTACTCCAAAACAAGAGGAACCCCTTTGCTGCAGGCAGGTGTGTTCAGATGAGGCTGCAGCTGCCAGGAATGGGAACCACACAGCACTTTAAATGTGTACATACTTATGGTAATAAATGTTTTGGGCTTTGTGTTTTCCTTAGTTGTTTTTCTTTTCACCTGGTTTTGCTGTTTCTTTTCCACCATCATCTGGAAGATGAATCCAGGCAGCAAAGCCATCACACATTGTTCATTTTAGAACTGAAACTCAGCCCTAGGCTTGTGCCTCACTTCCCAGCTCCAGACCAAGCTGTGCAGAGTCTGCAGAGCAGGGCTTCATTGCCTCAGGAACCTGGGTGCCTTTAACTGTCAGCAGCACAGCAGTTGCTTTTGGACACACCTTTAACAAGAACATGTATTTAAAGGTCAAACCATCCCCAAAAAATGAGGGGCAAGTGTCTTTAAAATAGCTTTAAAAGTTGCAGCAAATTCAATACTGGAACAAGTAGCCTGTAAGGGCAACTCCACATCACAAACCCCAGTCCCAGTAAAGGAGCATCAGCTCTTTAATTCCAAGCAAGTTTCATCTTGCTGTGTGCTTGAGCCCTGTGCAAATTGTGCTAAAGGCTCAAGGGTGATTTTCATCTTATGGGCTGCACAAAAATGAGCTGCTGCAGGGAGGCAAGATGGGATGGTGTTACTTAAAGTTGGTTGAAAAAAAAATAAATCAATTTACAGCTTGTTCTTCAGTTTAGTGTTTGGAAACACTAGGGGGGAAAGTTTGTCTTGCATAAGGAGTCAGTCATCTGTGGGAACAAACCCTCACTAGCCTGAAGCTCCAAGATGATCCTTTGTTACTCCAGTGCAAAAGCTCAGCTGGATTCTCCCCTGGCCAAACAGGGTGGGAAGAAAATAGTGATATTTACACAGAGGTTAAGTCAAGACTAGACAGTGCTCTGATCCAGCTCACCATCCAGCTGTACTCCAGCAGTGTTAAGGCAGGACTAACATCACAATCTCACCAGGGTGTTTGGTCAGTTGGGCTGTTGCACTGCAGCTTTCCTGGAGGAAAAGGAAGAGCAGTTACCTGCTCCTCCAGGAGGTGAAGCTGCTCACCAGTACAGGACTGAAAGCACCAATACTTTGTTACTTGTCCAGTAACACATCTGAGCTGAGAAGTGCTTTACTCCACAGGAAGTGAGGATTGTTTCTGTAAGGATAAGTACATCTAGGATAAAGCATTCAAGATGACCCTGTGGTATAAACCACCACACCATATCAGCCAGAAGAACAGTTATGGTGGTTCCACAACATTCAAATTAATACCTTGAATAATTTTGGAGCAAAGAATAAAAGTTGCCATGTCCAGTTAACACTGTATCCCTCTTTACTCTGTGGCTTGGGAAGGACACCTTGCCGAGGGGCAGCTGTCTCAAGATAACTTGGTTACCAAGGTGTCCACCTCACAATGCATCATCTGGTTATGCCTTTTATTACAAGTAGAATCATTACACAACAAAGTAATGCATATTGGAAAAATACATTTTTACAATTACTCCAGACAAACGTTGCAGATAAAATGCCATTGTTCCAAGACTTCCTTTTCTATTTCACAGAGGGTATTAGAAGGTTCAGTTATTTTTGTCACTCATACAAGCTTTGATTTTTCTAGAGAGGAGTTTGCTGCAATACTCAGCTCTGCTGATTACAGGAAAAAAAAAAAAGAGGACTTGCCTATTAATAGTTGATCTACAAAAGAAATCCAGCCTTGGCCTCCCCTATTGTTGCATGTTAGTTTATAAGCATGATGTGAGCAGTCATCCAAGCCATTGGTCTCCAGCTCAGGAAGTCCTTAAGGCATCTGTCAGCTTTCAGCCAGCAACTTGCTGTGCTCTGCTGGAACCTCCAACACTCACATTCTCACTCCACTGAGTGGTGTGAAACAGCAACTGCACCTTTTTCAGAGACACAAATTAAAACTGAAGCCAGCCTGCATGTTGTTCTTGTGTAAGTGCTGGATGACTCCAACCAAGAGGAATCCAGTCTCAGAACAAAAAGCTACAGCATGAACCACCACAGGCTTCCCTGCTGAAGTGCCTAAAGCCTGACTGGGCAGCATAACTTCCCAGGGACAGACCTTTGTTTTCCAGACACCCTTTTGTTCAATGCTTGGCAGACCTCTCAAAGTTAACAGATACCACTGACAGCAGGGGCAGGAAGGGTGGGGTTTTTGGTCACAACTGTTGGATGCTACAAGAAGGAAAAGCAGCTGGTTATGGAGTTAACAATGCATTGACCACTACTGCATTACCAAGTGCCTCCAACCACATTTGTGCCTGCAAAACTCCAAAAACATCTCACAGCTCAGACCATACTTGGCAGAGTGTCTAAAGGACTGAGCCCCACCAGCTGTTTGCTGGGGTCAACCCCTTTAGCTGATGAACCACAGAGAACTTCATTTCTGGTTCAAGTGCTGAGCTTTTCCCCTGTAACTCTGGCAGAAAGCTGTTTAGAGCTGGCTGGAAGGAAACTATATCTCAAAGGCACTTTAAAATGATAAAATTTGGTGAATTTAGTTGCCTTGAATTTAATGAACACTTCAGACCATACTTTAGTTTATCCAGAAACTTCACTTTCCTTTCAGACTTCAATGAGAAAGCAAGGTCGTACAGGATTTGTGTTTACAAACAGCAAACCATGAGCATGACATAGGGTTTCCCAGATCTTTCCAAGAGTTTCAAGGCAGTTTAACTTAATACTCTATTTTTTTAAAAAGATCAACTAGCCAGCCTGAAGCTTGCCATGCAGCTAAGCTGATATTTTTCATCATTTAAAAGGTTGCTTATTCTGTTAAAACTAAGCTCCCTGTTCCCTCCCCCCTTCCATCAGAGAAGTCACTGATAAAACGTTGTTTAAATGTCTCTGTTGTGCAGTTTTCCAACCAAGCTGAACTCCACAGGCTGTGGCCCTGCACAAACACTCTTCAACCACTATTCTTAAGCTTTCTGAGCACACACTTACCACTGCACAGCACTGCAGCTCCAAACCAAGAAGAAAGTCAGCAGGTTTTCATGGGACACACCACAGCCAAGACTCCTTTCACCAAACACACACTCTCTCCATCATCACCTCACTGCTAGACACCTGCATCCAGTGATACTCTGAAACATCTGAAATCAGCAGACTAAGAGTACAACGTTTTCCATCATCTATTTCACTTTAAAAAACCCAACTGTAGCTTGCAATTAAATGCTTTGGACACCATTATTTTCCACCTCATTCACCTAAACCATGATGCTAGAGATGCACCATTAGTAACTGTGTTACAAGGACCAGCTGTGTTATTCTGTTGGAACAGGACAGCAGCAGACATTATACAGTGAGGCAAATCTGTATTACCATCCATTATTCTTCTCTAGTGTTCCAAGGGTGAGATTCCAGTTATAAAATATGCATATTGGAAGATCAAAGTGCAGATCAAGTGAGACTTGATGTGAAATTCAGCGTGCAAACGTCAGCAGTTACACCCTCTCCCATCCTTCTCTTGCACAAGTTTGAGCAAAACCTCAAGCCAGTCTGCCTAAGAGCAGCAAGTCTGGTTTATCATCTCAACTTAAAGACTTAACAAGTCACTATTCCCAACAAGGCAACATGTCACCATTGTGTCCATATTGTACGCTGGAGATAACAGTCATTAAATAAATGCACACCAGTTCATGAGTAGAAATGAGGAATGCTAAGTTGAGGCTGAACTAGGTTCATCTCTTGGGACAAAACCAGCCCTAAAATGACATGCAGTTTTGCTGAAGTACACATTTTTTTCCTGACTGAAGCCTTAGCCCACCAAACCATAATCTTAGCTATCAGCAGAGTTTCTTCCTGTTTACCTAGAAAATGTGGTGTTGGATTTTTACAGATTCAGCATGTTTAAGAGAGCACAACCAGACCAGATTAAAATACCACAGCTTAATTCAAATGCCTGGCACCACAAAGCCAGTTCAGAGTCCCTCCTTCAAGGCCAGAGATGTAATGTTCATGGGAAGCCTCCAAACACACAAGCACTCACCAGCAATCCTGCTGAAACTGGACCCAAATATCATGTCTAGAGGTGCAGCACATTCTGCACTGGTAAGGTTACTGACTCCCCTGCAGCAGTTAACCACAGTCTTTAATGCAAAGAAAAGTGCTACTGCCCCTCATGGGATTCATAATGCACTTCAGCATTTATTGCTGTATTGAGAGTTAAACTATTTAACCAGTTTTAGTGTTTCTCCATTGAGCATGTGCTGAGGCCTTTCAACACACTTATGTTCATTTATCCAAGTTTCATGAACTGGAAGGACTAGCAACGTAAATATGAAAGAGCAACAAGGACTTTGACAGCTCTAGCAAGTATGTTTTAGCCAGTAAATACTCTTGCTCAATCTTGCACTTCTCTTGAACATGCTAAAGCTAACGAGACAATTACTGAGGAGGTATCAAGATGTGGATCTGCAATTCTGACTGCTTTGCATCAGATGTTGTAAAGCTTTCTGTTGTAAGGCCACAATTCTTGAGCTATGCTTAGAACTACCCCCTTTTTCTGAAGAGTTTCTCAAAACGACCAGTGGTTGCAACAGCTCATTCTGGCTTCACAAGAAGTCTTCTCTAGAGAAAGGGAACATTTAAGACAAAGCAAAGGAAGATACCTGGTTACCCTGAAAATTAATGTCATCTCTACTAAGCAGCCTGGAAGCCACAGGACTTAATAGAGTTGCTCAGTGCAAAGCACTATGTCAAGGACAGACCTGTTTTATATTGATGCCAACATCAGCCTAACAGTTGGAGCTTCCATCCCCCACTGCAAGTAGAAGAGGGTCTAAATTCTTTTGTCACTTGTTTTCAACAATCCACTCAAATTCCTAAGAAAGTCTATCACAGCCCAATACATTTACAGTCATACAAAGTCATTTATACCAGAATATATTGTAACAGGGTCCTTAATTAGTTCAGTCTATTGCAGAAGACATGTATAGGCCTCCTCTTCCCTATCCAGAGGGCTTGTAAGCAGAGCTGCTGTCCAGAGCACTGACTGGGGATCCCTTTACTTCCACAGCATACTAGGAGACTCCTCCCAGAGTCAGGACATCAAAGCAGATGTTGCAAACTCGAACTGGCTTGTTCAGATCAAATTTGATGATAGGAATCTCCTTTGTTGAGCACTTATGGCAGAGCAGGCGTCCACAGTGTCGGCTGGTGGTAGAAAAGGGAAGGGAGAAAAAAGTCACTTCATAGTGAAACTTCAGGGTTTATCCTCTTTGATACTCTCTATCCATGATAGCTTCACTAAAAAAGGTACAGTAACAACTGAAATGCTACAGTTTTTCTGGTATCTTTTGACATCTCATGTAGTAGCTGAATACAAGCACTAAAAACGGGTGGTGCACCAGCCACCTGGTGCTCCTGCAGCTCCTCTGCAACCCTGGGCCAGGAGAAACATCTTTGCTGTTAACATCCATCTAACACAGCATCTTTTGTAGAAGTGCAGACTAGTTAAGATAAGGTGTCTCACATCTAAGAGCCACTCATTCAGCATCTTCAGTCATTTCCACTTTCCCAACAGCTCCCCTAAGCTAAGCTGGCAAGGGCTGCCCCAAAGCTGTCCCTTGTTTCAGAACAGGTCAGCCCCACTTCTCAAAGCAGGCATCTAAGTTCTGTTTCACTCCTGGAACTGTGACATGATTTCTCACTTGTAACAAATCAGAATGTTAAGTGCACAAGCTGCTGAGGATATGATTTTAGTCAGACCACCAGTTACTGATCTAACAACTATGACTGGGTGGAATGTTTCAGCTGGATTACTGGCTATACATCTAGAGTACCATGTAGGTTTCCTCAACCACCAGAGGGAACAAGCCTAGCTACATTTGGAAGAGAAACCCATTTCCTGGGAAGCACAGCAAGAGGTGTCACATTACCAGTGATGCTTTCTTGTTGTGACTCCAAATTTGGCAGTGCATTCATAGCAGTTGGAGCCATCACACCAGGGAGGTTCTTTTGTCAGCATATCTGTTAGAGGCAAAAATGTCAAGGCAAAAAGGGCTCAGGCATCTCTGGAGTGCAAGGTAACATTAAAGAGGGTTTTTCAACTTTCAGGTTGCATCCAGTATTTATCTACTCCTGCTGCAGTTGTGGTCTGGTGTATAGACAGTGCACAGTTGCTTTCATCAACATCACATTATCCACAGCAACTACACAGCACAAGTTAAAAAGCAGTATCCAGGTTTTAAGCTACATTAGCCTATGACACCAGCCATGAATTCCCCATGTCTATCCTTCCAGAAAAAGTAATATTGAAGTCTGACAGGTCTGCACTGGGAAGCTTTTCAGTTGATCATGAGAAAAATGACTGTTTCTACCCCACACTTAAAGTAACAGAATATTCAGAAGTTCAGCCTCTCTGAAATTACTGAGACATGTCCAAAGTTCTTTCCTGCACCAAGGTATCATAGAGTCACAGAACAGATTCAGTTGGAAGGCACCTTATGGATCATCTAGATCCAACCCCTCCTGCATGGGCAGGGACACCTCCCACCAGCCCAGGCTGCTCCAAGCCCCATCCAACCTGCCCTTCAACACTGCCAGGGATGGGGCAGCCACAGCTTCTCTGGGCAACCTGGGCCAGGGTCTCACCACTCTCACACTGAAGAACTTGCCTCCTCATGTCTCACCTAAATCTCCCTCTTCCAGTTTTAATCCACTACCCTTGTCCTCTCACTCCCTGCCCCTATCAAAAGTCCCTCCTCAGCTTTCCTGTAGCTCCTTCAGGCCACTAGAAGGCTGAAGCAGATCTCAGAAGCATAAACTGTAACCCACTCTCTAACTGTAGCAGGTAGTACTTACCCAGCAGTCTGAAGAGAAGCTGTTTTGTAGCAACTTGGTAGTTGAAGATATTGACTCCTTGGTTGTTGTTAACCCCCAGGCGAGCTCCAGCTCTCACTATTGCACGACACAAATTTGCATTTCCCTTCATGTAAGCCAACAGGAGCACTGAAAAATAAAAGCCAGCCACTTCCCTGCTAACAGAGTGACAGGTCTTGTGCTGCACTCAGTCCAGAGTAGGAACTGAGCTCTTTTCAGTTTCTATGTAATGTTTGAATCTTACTGTACTTAACATTTACTGTAATTAACTATTATTTCAGCTTTAAAAGTGACACACTGTTAACATGTCTCGAGTGACTTTCAAGTTGAATAGCTGTTGAATCTCACCTGTGTTTCCTTCAGCATCAGGTTTGTCCAGAGGGTACTCTGGCATACACTCCAAGAAGAGGTCACAGATGGCTGCTGCATTATCTTTCCCATATTGTCCCAAAATATGCATTGGTGACTGGCCTCTGGGGAAAAGAGTTTGCCATTCTGATCAAAGTCTGCTTGCAATCACAGTTACTCATCCAACTCTCCTGGTTTTTCAGTTAGGCATAGCATTGTTTAAGTCTGAACCAAAGTAACTTAGTACATCACACGTAACTATCTACATCTTCCTTTTCTTTGTATACATCATGTCACACAACTTAGACACAGCATGCTCTGCACACTTCACTCTAACTGCAGTGTAGAAACACTAGAATCCAAGCCAAAACTCTGGGGATTTTTAAAATCTAGTCATACCAGCACATATTTTAAAATAAACTGTGGTTCTTTTAGTCTGTTAAGACTATACTAATTACCTAATATTAAAGGCTTCTGCATCTACATTGCACTCTGTGAGGAGGACCCGGATATTGTTTAGACGACCATGCATCACTGCCAGATGAAGAGCTGAAAAGCAGAAGAGAACCTTCAAGAACCTGAAGTAGTTAATGTCAGCAGAAATTACAGCCTGACAACATTTAGCCCTCCCCTTCCATTTCCCCACCTTCCCTCTCCAAAACTCCTTCCACCAGCTTTGATTTCTTGCACTTTCCTTCTCCTTTTCACCTTTGAAGAGCAAGCCCGTTCAGTGGGCTCTCTCTGCCTCTAGGAGATAATACTATGCACAGACCTACTGAAGTGTTGCCATCTACTTTTAAGCCTTCAGAAGTTTACCATTATTTCCATTTTCATCTACTGCTGCAAAGTCTACTCCATTTTCCAGAAGGACTGAACAAATGGTGGGCAGATCTTGCTGGGCTGCTAAGTGAAGAGCAGTCTGACGATGCTTGGTCAGTTCATTCACCTGGGCACCTGCAAGCAGCTGTCAAGAAGGAACATGTGCAAAGATGTTTTCAGGGATATTGGCCAACAGTTTAATGTCTCTCAATGAGGCACATAAGGCTCCACTGCACAGAGACACTTCTAGGCCTCCAGAACATGGAAAATGCTGTCATTACTGAGCTGCTGCAACGTGGAAGTGCAAGGAAAGGTTCAGTTGGAAGGGGCTTTATGGATCATCTAGATCATTCTCCTGCATGGGCAGGGACACCTCCCACCAGCCCAGGTTGCTCCAAGCCCCACCCAACCTGCCCTTCAACACTTCCAGGGATGAGGC